AAAAAAAAGGAAACAATCTAAACCTTCATCATCAGGAAATACATAAATAAATAGTGGTTTAATAATACATGGAATAACCACATAGGATTAAAAAGGAATGGCCTAAAACTCTACATAACAACATGGGTGAATGTCACAAACATTGATCAAGAAAAGCAAGTTGCTGAAGAATACATAGATTACAATGATACCATTTATACAGTTTTAAAATACACAGAGCAATACTTTGGATAGTTTACCTAGTAAAATTATAAGGATGTATGTGAAGATGATTCATACAAAATTTAGAAAATAGCCATCTTGTGGCGGGAGGGAGGGAGGCAAAAGCAAGAGTACAGAGATGCTCAGGGGCCTCGACGGGACGAGGAAATCTTTATTTTGGGGCTGGATGGTGGAGAGGTGGATACATTTTCTATCTCTGGTGTGAAATTTTCATACCTCTTAAAACATTTTAAGCATGAATAATAAACTTGTCACATATCATCTTTGCATATCATTACTTCAAAATCCTTTTTGCAGCCTTAGGAAAATGATTTAACCGATCTCCTGATCTTTCAAACTAGTTAATTTTCAGAAACTTAAAAATTTTCTAAATGTATTTTGTTTTCAACTTTAAAGCATATGACTATTTGTGTAACCAAACATATTACCCGATGTATGATATACATGGTTCCACCAGTGACTAAACTTAACAAAACTATGGTGTGCAGAAAGTCCTATTACCTTCTGAGGTCATAGTCAAACCTTGGGAGGCCAGAATAAATAATCAAGAAATAGCCATACTTTAGGCAGTGGAGGAAAAATAAAATTAGTATGCCACATTTTTCCTTGCCCTACAGATTCTTCCCACCTCTCCTCTACCCACCATCCCCCAGGGATCGTGGATAATCCCTTTTGTCCTGATGCAATGGAATCTAATTTTGTTATAATGTGATGTGAAGCCTATAACCTATTTTGGGTTCAGTTGATTTAAGGCTTTCACACCAGCAACTGTGGCTATTATGGTTTCCATAGCTGGGAAATTTACCCTTACAGTTTTGTTCAGTTGCTCTGTCACAGATTTGCATTTTAAAAAAATTCTTTTCTGCATTGAGTTAGCCGCCTAGGTAATATGTCTCCATTTTGCATCAGAGATGTTATGTATCATATACTGAGCATACTCTCAGCAGATAAAACAGTATCAGTGGCAGGAGGGTCAGACATCAGATTGGAATGATGTTCTTAAATTTCCCACAACGTGTTTTGTTGGCCTCTTGGTCTGGTAGGAATCTAGTCCTCAAGAATCTAACAGAGCTTTCCTTGGATCGATTTTATGTTGCTCTCTTATCTCAATCTCTCCAAATGGCAACTGTGAATAGTCCTATACCATTAGAATCGAGGTGAAACCAGTGGCTGGAGAGTTATTTTATAAAATGAATAGGTTTCTGAGGGAATCATTTTCATTCATTCATCACTTCAACAAATATTTATTGAGCTACTTACTCCTACACATCAGGCATTGTTGTAAACACCAGGGATCCAGGAGTGAAGAAAAGAGGCCAGGCCCTTGTCCTCACAGAGTCTGCCTTCTAGTGATTTCTTAGAATAACTCAGCGGATTGAAGTGACATCAGGTACACATGACAACAAGGATGATGATAGGCAAGCTCTTTCAGAAAGACTTTCATGATTTTCCACAACCCTCCAAGCAAAGCTCAGTGCCTTCCTCTGTGCCCCAGGACACCCTTGTCACTCAGGGAAACTGATATTTTCAACAGATTGCTTTTGTATCCCAGCAGTGCCACTCACCAGTTGTGCAACCTTGGACCAGTTAACTCAACCCTTTCGAGCTTAATAACTAGCTAATCTTTATTGGGTATCTACTATGTGCCAGGCTCTCTGCTAAGTGTTTTACATAAATCATTTTATCTAATCCTTATACCAACCCTACAAGACAGATCCCGTTACTATTCCTCCTACTAATAAGAAAATTGAAACCCAGAGAGGCTAAGTAACCTACTTGAGGTCAGTCATGTGGGTAGTAAGTGACCATAGTAGTAAGGGCCCAATAAATGTTAACCTCACGCTGTGGGGGTGGGGGTGGGGGGACCAGGAGTGGGAGCAGGTCATGCACATGCAGTGTCAGAGCCTATTTAAAATCCTGATACTTTAGGGGCGCCTGGGTGGTTCCGTCGTTAAGTGTCTGACTTCAGCTCAGGTCATGATTTCGCGGTTTGTGAGTTCGAGCCCTGCGTTGGGCTCTGTGCTGACAGCTCAGAGTCTGGAGCCTGCTTCGGATTCTGTGTCTCCCCATCTCTCGGCCCCTTCCCTGCTCATGCTCTGTCTCTCTCTGTATCTCAATAATAAATAAATGTTAAAAAATTTAAAATCCTAATACTTTATTCATCATGGATTTTTCCTGCATTTATGTTGTTTTAAATATTGTATTAAAATATTGTTTAGCTTGATAACTGAGCTTTTGGGCACCCACTTAAATTTTGCGCCCACAGTGAGTGCCTCTCTTACCTCACTCTAGTCCCAGCATCATTAGTAGTATTGGTATCACATTAGAAGGGAAGTTCCTATTTATTTGTTGATTGCCCCTGCTGAATTCAGAGATGTCTAAAGATTCCATCTATGTCTTGTGTCTCTAAAGCCTTAAGAGTTGGCACAGAGCAGGTGTTCAAGAAATAGTGGCTGAACCAAACTTTCTGCTCCACAATAATTCAAAGGAAGACTAGTCTTCATTCAGTGAGAAAAGAGAACTAGCTGACCTCTTCAGTTTCATGTAGTACGATTAGTCCATTGTATTTTATTATTGTCAGTAATACTATTAATATTATTTACATATTAACCACAGCCGTCAGGTATTGGGTATCTACTAGAGTCAAATGCTTAACACACCTCATCTCAAATTCTCACCACAAAGCTGGAAACTGAGGCTCAGCAATGTGGAATCACTTGCCCTGGGCCACACAGCTAGTAAGTGACAGTCAGCATTAGACCCAGGTCAGTGTGAGTACAGACTTGGGTTCTTTGCATTCTACCACCTCCCTTTCTCTTTCAGTGTATAGTCTGTCACTGAACAGACTGTGGCATGACTGTGGCCATAGAGAAGGGAGCAGGCAAATGAAGAAGATGGTGAAGTTATACAAAGAAAAGATAGACACACACTGAACACCCAAAGGGGAGGGGAGTGGCCGGGCCCTTCCATATCACTGTGCAATGCCATCTCTGACCATTGCTATGAGGTTGTTGTGGAGATTATCCTACACTGTGGTGTGGCCCTGACCTGTATCCACTTGAAGGGGTAAATCGAAGACCTGTCTGTGTGTCTCAAATAAGAGAGCCACATGTTTGTCTTCCTGACCTGCCTCCTTTCGGGTAAATTGAGTAGTTAAGTCTGACCAGATGACAAGAAGTCTATACAGTTGGGCAGCTGGTGATAGGCACCCCACATCAGAAACAAGGAACCAACTGCATCCAGCATTATGTTCTTTGTCCCCAGAATATAATGGGTCAGTGCTAAATGTCTAAGATCCTACTCTGATTTCTACCATGAGAGACATGGTTGTATTTTCCAAAGTGTACTTCTTGAAACGTCAGTACGATAGAATTCTGTGGTCAAGGAAGCTTAAGCAGGATTTTCTTTTATTATTATTATTTTTTTAATGTTTATTTTTAATTTCGAAAGAGAGAGAGAGAGAGAGCGAATAGAAGAGAGGCAGAGAAAGAGGGAGACACAGAATCTGAAGCAGGCTCCAGGCTCTGAGCTACCAGCACAGAGCCTGATGCAGGGCTCAAACTCACAAACGGTGAGATCATGACCTGAGCCGAAATCTGATGCTTAATCAACTGAGCCAACAGTCGGTTGGGGTGCCCCGACAGGATTTTCTGTCAGTATTTCTCAGAGGTTTCAAAAGCTCTGGGTGGTGAATCTCCAAGGGAAGTAGATTATAGGCAGCATTTCTCCAACCCAGTTGGCCAGGGAATCCCTTTATGTGGAGTACCTCCACATGGGATGGACTCTGGGAAGCTGTGTGTCAGGATCTTTTAGACAGTATTTCAGGAGAAAGTGCCAAGAAGGTGAAACCTTGGGAAATTATTCTTAAGGAATCAAAATGTTAATGTCTTCCTTTTTTTCCTTTTTCACTATAAAAAAGAAAAGTTCTAAAACTAGATTAAAGGAAAGTTGTGAAAATAAAAATAAATCACCCTTATTTTCACAACTTGAGAATATCCTGTTCTTGTCTTTTCCGTATCTATATAACTCCAAATGTGTATCCATATGTGTGTGTGTGTGTGTGTGTGTGTGTGTGTGTGCATCCAGACTTAGCACGTGCAGACACTATGCTAACTGCTTTGCATTTAACCCACACAATAACCCTGTGAGTTAACAAATATGATTCCCATGTTAGAGATTTGGAAATTGAGGCTCAGAGGGTTTAAGTAACTTACCAATTTGCACAGCAAGTAGGTGACTGAGCCACTGTTTAAACACAGGTATTTCTGACTCCACAGACTATGTATTTAAGCACTGAAATGCTGAAATAGTTATTTTCTACCCTAGAAAAAAAGTATTTGCCCTGAATTTACTACCAGGGAGTTTATCTTATCTGAGATCCTCATACAGCTCAGTTCCATGTTGAATGATAAAAGGGTATTCCAAAATTGTTCCTGCTTTTTATTTGTCCTTGCCTCCCTCCTCTGACTTCGGGTAAGTGTCACAAGGACTTCACAGCAAGTAATCCTAAATGCCGGGCCACATTGTTTTCTGTTTTATGGCTCAATGATTTCCTGTGTTGTAAATGCATTCAGAAATGATTGTGGCTTTTTCTTGAAGCCTCAACATTTTTTAAAAAGTGATTTATTTTGATAGTGCTTTAGCCTCATGATTTCAAATATTAAGTTACTTGGTTCAGGTGATCTTATATTTTCCCATAAATGTGTTTATGTCACCCCGCAGACTGAGAAATTTCATTCCAGATTTTTTTCTTTCTTCCTTCATTTGATTTCGTGCAGGAGGAGAACTGAATTCTTTGAACTTGTCAGTAAAGGAGAATATGATTGGAACATCAAAAACCATCGTGATATATTTCGGTAAGAAGCAGCTCTTGTTTATGTGTTTTTTCATTATCTGAAGATTTAGTCATGCTTTTCTGACAGTGCTAAGGGCACACAATGATTCTTGAAGTAACAAATCTTAGCTTACATTCAGAGAGTAGTTGAATAATTAGAGAAAAGGTAGGGTGTCTTTCCATCTTCTAATTCATTATATTTTTGCCCCCTCACCATAAATTTGCCTTCAGAATTAGAAAATGGTGTTCAAATTGATTCAGTTTCAGCAAGCTGTGACTTCCTGTTTTTCCTGGGGAAGCAGAGTATGTAAGTTGAGGAGAGAGAGGATTTTTGAACCTTAGAAAACATCATTACCAAAAACAAAATGGCGAATGAACTTTTGTTTTTCTTTAGAGACAACAGATGTTATACACAGAAAACCAGTTGGAACCATGTTGGTGGCAGAAATAAGGAGTCTGTTCTACACTTTTCACTGGACTTCTTCCTAATTGTTTAGAAAAGACAGCAGCAAACCACTATCCTTACGTGGCACATTTGAACCCCCTGACTGTAGCCATCCAGACAGCTAGGCACTACTCTTTTTCTCATATCCTGTCCCTCCACTGTCCCTGCCTCACTCACCCCGAGACTTCTGCTGTCTTATTCCTGTGCCAAGCTTGTATTTCTGGAAAATTTCGTGAGGCCAGGACTGTGGGCTCGCTGTATCTGCTCCACAACTGCTAGAATCACCCAGAGCACCACCCCGGTCGTGGCTGCCCCATACCTGCCATGCAAGCCCTGCCCCCAGCCCCCTCCAGCTTCAGAACACAGGGCTGCCTGCCCCTCCCTCTGCCCAAGACCACGCTTCATACTTTCCAGAGGACTTCTCCCCTCCCACAGTGATATTTCTTTCTGCTATCTTTACAGACCTTTTTCTTCTTCCTGTACAGAGAAGCAGGGGGACCCTCCCTTGTGTCCTAAGCTAGCTCTTCCCTTGTGTCCTAACTCTGTTGCCTCTGCCTCCTCCTGCCTGCCCCCCCCTCCTGAACTTGCTATATCGATTATACTCATTTACATTGCATTTAATTGCTTGCATTTTCAGAATCTGTTTTTCCGTCATGATCATTCTAGGCCTAAAGATATTCTTCTAACTCCTCAGGGGGAAAAAAAAATTCATCCCTGAAATCTTCCTTCTTCTCAAAGTCCAATCAATGCCCCCTTCTTCCCTTCAATTGCACACTTGATTCACACTCCTCCTAACTTCTCAGAAGGCAGTGTTTTTCTTTTTAAATAATTTTTAGTTCCACAAGTAATTACAGGGATATATTTTTCTGTAACAAAATATGACAGGCCCCCAGACCCCCCCTGGGCTTCACTCCCATGTCCCATACTGACATATAGCTACACAATTTGTTGTATCCTTTCCAACATTTCCAAAGCATTTATATATGTGTATATTCTAAGGAAAAATACTGTGTAGTGTGGATTTGTTTGTTTTAACGTAAGTTATATATTTATATCTCAGTCTGAACTTGCTTGTTCACTCAACTATATGCCTTGGAATTTCTTCCATGTCCAAATGTCATTATCTTTTACTGTTGCATACTTCTCCAAAGTATGGATTTACCACAGAGTAGTTAGCCATTCTTCTACTGAGGAATTGGGTCTATGAAATGTGATTTTTGCTCCTTTTGAAAGTCACCAGTCACCTCCCAAGGATCAAATCGTAGGGTCTTTGTTCTCTTCCTTGATCTCGTCACACCCCTAATTGCCCTGGCCTTTCCTTTCTTAAATCTCTCTCCTGCCTTGGATTCTGCAAAGCCAAGCTCTTCCAGATTTTCTGCTTTCTTCTGACTCCTGCTTCTCCTCTTTGTTCTTCTTCAGCCCTTCCTCCTCCCCCGTCCCCCTAAAATGTAAGGACCTCCAAGGACCTGTTTTTACTTTCCTCAGCATGCATGCTTGTGGCTTTAAGTACCATCTCTGCTCAAATGACTCCCACCCCATGTCTGGAGCCTGGCCTCTCTTTTGAGCACAACTCCTAAAATGCCAGTGCCCATTCCACATCTCCACCTGGGTGTTATCCTGCAGAGGTTTTCAAACTTTTTTTGGTTGGGAATCCCCAATGTAAGAAAAATCTTATTTGGAAGCTCAGTATGTGGAACAGGTGCTCCAGGAGCTCTCCACTGGCCCCCATCGTTGCCTCCCCCCCCACCCCATTTCATGGTTAGACTCTGTGTGCAGAAAGGGCCGGGGGGCTCTAGGGGAACACTGTCTTAGAGAATTTCAAAATAGTAATAAAACCAACTAAAAGTTGGCCTGCTTTTTATCACCACCATGTGCCTGCAGTCTAAACAATGTCAATGATAAGCTACTTCTCCCTGAGAAAAATCTTTTGTTGGCATAGGCTCTAAACAGTTGCTGAGACTACTGCTGAGTATCAGAATAATTGCTATGAAAGCTCCCAATTGGCACATTATTACTTACCTATAGTCGTACATATCTCGTACATGTAAGCTAAGTGTAAAAGTGCCCCATTATCTAACCAGCCCCTGACACAGGTGGACGCAGTCCACACCTTAGTGCAAGTTCCTGATGCTTCAGAGCCTTTTGCCCTTGCTCTGGAGATAGTTCATGTTTCTGACCCTGCAGAGTTTCACAGTCCTGCTTTTAAACAGCATATCCGACAAGGGTAGCACAGTAATGGCAAGGATAAAAAACAACTGGAGTTACTTCACTTCTGTTATTTTACGTTGACTATTTGGACTTTTTATTTGTGTTTCAAATTTAAAATAGTGAAACGGAGGGCGAAGTGCGAAGTGTGATTTTTGTTTGGTAAATGCAAAATTCAGTTCATATGTGAACTATTTTACTGAATATGAATATTTTTAAATTAAAATTTATTCGTTGTCTTCTTTTTTCTTTTTTTAAAGTTTATTTATTTTCAGAAAGAAAGCGTGAGTGGGGGAGAGGCAGAGAGAGAGAGAGGGAGAGAGAGAATCCCAAGCAAGCTCCACACTGTCAGTGCAGAGCCTGACATGGGGCTCAAACTCACAACCCGTGAGATCATGACCTGAGCTGAAATCAATAGTCAGACGCTTAACCAACTGAGCCACCCAGGCGCCCCTGCTAATTGTTTTAAAATTAGAAAACAAATTGAGAAAATAATGATTAACACAAGATTATTGTTGAAATAATTTGGCATATGGAGGAGAAGTATGAATAAAAAAATGGTGCAAGTATCAGATACTCTGGAGAGAGACTGAAAAGTCCAATGCTTTGTCTCACTCTGGTACCAGCAGAATGTAAAGTGAGAAGCATCAGGGTGTAACAAGAGGGGGTCTGGTGTCTTTTTTTTATTATTATTATTTATTTGGATTTTTTTTAATGTTTATTTATTTTTGGCAGAGAGAGACACAGAGCATGAGCAAGGGAGGGGCAGAGAGAGAGGGAGACACAGAATACGAAGCAGGCTCCAGGCTCTGAGCTGTCAGCACAGAGCCCGACAGGGGGCTTGAACCCACCAGCTGCAAGATCATGACCTGAGCCAAAGTCAGAAGCTCAACCGACTGAGCCACCCAGGTGCCCCATGGTATCTTTTTGATAATCACAGAATCCTGAATACTTACTCACTTTGGGAAAGTTACTTAATCTTTAATCATTTACCTCTCCATGAAATAGGAATGATGGCCCCTACTTGGGGCACCTGGGTGGCTCAGTCAGTTAAGCATCCAACTCTTGATTTGGGCTCAGGTCATGATCTCACAGTTTGTGGGTTCGAGCCCCATATCAGGTCTGTGCTGACAGTGTGGAGCCTGCTTGGGATTCTCTCTTTCCCTCTCTCTCTGCCCCTTCCCCGTCCCTGCCTCACTCTCTTGCACACTCTTTCTCTCTCTCAAAATAAATAAATATTACATAAATAAGAAAACACATTAAAAAATAGGAATAATGACCCCTACCAGTGGGTTCAGATGATTCATTGAGTTAGTAGTTAGTTGGTAAAGCACTTTGTACAGAGGGAGGAAAACACTAGACTGCTTGTTACAAAAGATCAAATATGAAGAATGCTCTGATTTGTTGTTCCGCATAGTGCTTAACACAGGGATGCTTGGGATTAGATGTTACGTGACTCCTGGAGGGGGGTTCTGACACCATTGTGCCTGGTGGCTCTGAATGACCTATTGTTACCGGCTACCCTGCCCTGTTCCCTGGAGGAGTTGCCCGGGGAAGTGACACAAACCCCACTAGCATCTAGGCATGCTCTGCCATCTGGGAAGCAGACATGTTTCCAAGGCATTCGAGTATGAAATGTTGACACCCGACATCAGGACAGCCCTCTGACCTCCAACAGCACACCCCTTTCTTCCAAAAGGAGCCAATCAAGATGTGGTCTCCCAATTCCAATCCTTCATTGCTTTTCATCACATACTGCTGGCTTTAGCACAAAGAAAGCAAATTTTGGACAAGGAGTGTGCCTTGTTTTTCCTGCTTCCCACCACATCAAATTATAAGCACCAGAGTTATCCACAATTTCAATTGTTCCCTGTGTTCTTATATCCATGGTTAGATGGATTCTAGTTAAACCCAGTAGAAATCTGTCCCCCAAAAATCTGGTTCAGATGTTCCTGTGCTTTCTTATGTGCTCAAATTAATGAAAGCTTAGCTGAATATGTTTCTTCTTCATAATGCTGACAAAACAGGGCTGCAGCCAGGTAATAAACTGGAGTGAAACACTGTGGCTCTCCCAGTAAATCTGAGCTCTGTAAGGCAGGTGACAATGAAGGAGCTCCTATGGTGGCAAGCGCCTTGCCTTCTGCTATAGGTTTCCGTCCATTCCCATCAATCAGTGATAAGTTGGTAAAGAGATTTATCAGCTGTGTATGTGGCATTATATACTGATTCCCTTGCTGATAGTTAAGAATAAAAAGCATTGTCCATCCGTCCATTAGAGATTAGTTTACGCAGAACTTGCTTAGCTCAGGTACAGAGAAAGTAGTGCTTTGCCTTCCTTGATCTGCTGCAGACATAACAAAAGGGCACCGGAGGGTGTGTGTGAGCTTTGTCTTCCTAAGCAGTGTGGCCACAAGACGGAGATGCTAAACATGGGGACGGTAAACAGTGCTTCCCTTGTTGAGGGAAAGACATGTGAGTTGGCCTTAGTCCCATTTTATTTATTTATGTATCCAGGATGGGATTGTTTCGGAATGCAACAAAAGATTATTCAGCCTGTTTTGTTTGGTTCTGTTTTTCAGATCAATGTTAATGACAGCCTGTGACCTTGGAGCCGTGACCAAACCATGGGAGATCTCGAGACAGGCAAGTGGTGATTAATGGCAGGGCTCAGCAGAGGAGGAACTGCGGGAGGGGGGCGGGGGGAACAATATTCCCAGAGCCCAGACTCCCAGGCACTGAAACCCTAGTCAATTTGCATCAGTATTAACATGGTGTAAAAAATAGCGGGAGGCTTGGGCACGACATAGTTTATTGCACAGCCTTTCTTTAACGTGCTTCCACTGAATAATAGTATTTCTGACTCTGTAAGATTTTGTTAACACTCTAAATCCAAATAACGCATTGACCATTTCCTAAGGCAAGAGTTTCAAAAATAGTGTTTTTAAATAGGTAATCGTGTTTTAGCACAAGGTCCACTTTTTTCTCATCTGGAAAAAAAAAAAAAAGAAAAAAAAGAAAAAAACAAACCAAGGAGGTCAAAAGGAAATTTTCTTTTTATTTAAAGACTATTTGGAGATGAAATCACGGTGGCCAAAGTGTGTAATATCCAAATTTAATTTGTACCCCCCAAAAATGGTGCCTTTACCATCTATCTGGTCTTACTGCTAAAAGTGTTAGTTTAGAGCAAGAACAGGTTTCAAGCCAGTAACCACACAATTTAAGATCCTTGATTACTGATAGTATTTGGAGATTAAACTCTTTTTTAATTTTCATGTGGCACACCTACTGTGTGGGGTCTAAAATAGTAACTTGGTATCTTAAGTCTCACCATTTTAAGGAAAATAAAGTAGACTCATATAACAATAAATAACTAATATTTATTGACTAAATATCTAATTTTAAATGACTCCTTTATATGTATTATATCATTTAATCCTCCAACTTTGATTTAGGTATAGTTAGTCTAGTAGGCTGAATAATGGCAACTGAAAGATATTGGATGCTAATTTCTGGAACCTGTAAACATTGCCTTAGAAGGAAAAAGGGTATTTGCTGATGTGATTAAGTTAAGGGCCATCATTATCCTGGATTATCCAGGTGAGACCTAAATTCAATGACAGGTGTCCTCCTAAAAGAGAGAGAGAGAGACACTGGGAGATTACACATTCAGAATAGGGGAAGAGGATGTGAAGAGAAGGCAGAAAGTAGAGTGATGTGGCCACAAACAAGAGAAAGCTGGTAACTGCCAGAAAGTAGAAGAGGCAAAGGACAGATTCTCCCTTAGAGGCTCCAGAGCAAGCTCGGCCTTGGCAAAACCTTGATTGCTGTCCAGTGAACTGATGTTGACCTGCCAACCTCCAGAACTATGAGAGAACAGATTCGTTATTGCTTTAAGCCACCAAGTTGTGGTCATTTCTGGCAACGCTGGGAAACTTATACAGTTATTACCCCTATTTCACAAATGGGGAAAATGAAGCCTAGAAAAGATAAGTAGCTTGAGGTGATACACCTAGTAAGTTGATAGAGCTAGGTATTCAAATCCCAACAGAGTAGTCTCCAAAGCCTTCGTTCTTTACAGCACTTCTACTCTTTCTTATACCAGATATACCAGTTGGCATTTTTAAATGATGCCAGTGTGTCAGCAGAATGGGCTGTTATCCCTCAGCCTCAGTGGCTTAACACAACACACTGCTTATGAACATGTGCATCCAGGACCAGCTTGGTACCATTCCTCATTTTGGACTGCGACTGAGGGAGCAGCTACCATTTGGATCATTCCGACAGAGGCCCTAGCATGTCTTGCACTGGCAAATAAATGCAAATAAATCCCCAGAAATTCATTGGCCAGAACTTGTCACAAGACCCCACCTAACCAGGAAGTAAAATCCTTTCCTGTGCCCAGAACGTAGAAAGCCAGAAATAGTTGATGAAAACGTGACTACCACAGTTTGCCCTTCTAATCACCAAAAATGTGATTCACTCTCCTTCCTCAGGCAAAATATACTCATCCTGTCCCCAAGGGAGATGACCCAAATGTCCCAAGAGTCATGGTATCAAGCTCAAGTCCAGGATCTCTGGGTGATCTATGCCAGTCTCCACATCAGGTCTGGATGCAAATTAAAGACCTACACACACCCCAAACACAGCATTTGACTTACACTCAAACCACAAAACACTCATTACAACACTCCCATTCAGAAGGGGAAGAGATGACCAATATTTGGCAGTTAGGAGGCCATGGCAATTCCAAAATCCCACTGGGCATTCACTGGAAGGCCATCCACTCTGTGGTAGACCCTGATTCTCTGGGAGACGCTCCCCAGTCATCATTGTCCATGGCCCTTAGATCCACCCTGGGACATTATTCCTTTTCCATTGCCTTCCTTGGCTGTATCCAATGGCCAGGCAGTTTTCTCAGCCTGTTTCCCACCTAAAGAAGATTGAGGACCCAAGGCTTGTTTCAAGTTTTAAGTAGTCACAGTCTTAGGGGGGTTTTGGCACCAAACTCTCTTAAACATTTAGTCAGCTTCTTATGTCTTTGTTCCTAGTCACTTCCATTTGCCAATAACCACATCCACAGTTCCATTCTAGACAGACTTCTTAGATCTGCTCTATCTCTTTGCTTCCTTGTATTAAAGAACAAAGAAAATTAGCATATGTACTTCTTTCTTCCTCTTTCATGATCCAGTTCCTAGTATTCAGGGCCTAATGATTTTTCTGGGCCATTTGTCCAATTGAAGGGATATCCTGTGTACCGCCTAATTCATTCAGTTTTTAACTGTGGATGCACTGGCCATACCTTTGATTCTAGTTGTAAGGCTGGGTCTTGATCAGCCTTTGTCATTCAAAACATATCTCAATTTTTATTTTTACACTTTGGGGTTAAAAAGCAGCTCTGTCTTCCATCCCTGAAGATGAAGACTCTGAATTTGTGACTCTCTCCTTTCCCTTTCATTCCTGGTTGTAAACCTGCCAATCCTTTTCGGAGCTCACTTCTTACAATACTTAGCAAAACACAGTCAATAGCAATTCTCACATGCTACCAACATTTTGTTTTCCAGTATCGTCCCCTAAGGCTATAAATTCATTAGATATATTATTTGCTTTATTTCAAAGAGAATTGTACAAAATATTTTGCTACTGTGTACCATGGGTGTCATCCTTGGTACAGCCTCCAACAGCCGTTTCCTCACTGTTTTACACATGCCCCCTAAGCTGATGCTACATATTTTAGGGTCTTTTTATTTTTCTTCCTTCTTTTTCTTTCTTTCTAAAAAGAACGCACCTCATTTCCATACCATTTTTTTGTGTGAGTCAAAACTAGGCTAGGCTTTGCTGCAATAACAAATATATTCTCAAATTTCAGTTTCTTTACTCAAAGAAAAGTTTATTTCTTGTTCCTATCACAGTCCAATGCAGATTTCCTATAAAGTTCTCCAATAAACAGCTCTCCTCCAATTGAACTTTGGTTTTCATTTTGGTTTTCAACTTCACACTTGAAGTTACATTAAAACAGGGAGGAATTTGCTTGGTTGAGTAGCGTATTTCTATATCTCTGCCCACCCTTCACTTCCCCAGTGTGGGAAGCCTCCCCTATAGTAAAGTCTGGACCAGAGAAGAGATAGGTATCTTCCAGGTATCAGGAAAAACTGTAGTAGTGGGGTGGCCTCCTGAATTGGGATGGAAAGAAGTGGAGGGGTAGAGAGCAGAAGAAAATTCAGGGGACCAGGGGGAAAATAGAGAAGATTGGAAAGAGAGTGGGATGAGGTATGATATGCCGGGACTTTCAGAAACCCCAGTGAAATGCATGTCAACAACTAAAGGAGCAGTAGCCCACTTGGGAGTGGGAAAGGGACAGGACAAAGTACTTAACAAGAAAAAAAGGTTCTGCATTGATGTTGTAGACCAACTTGGGAGGCCTATTGGCCGGTCTCTTGGTCATTGATGTAAATAGTATTTTATTTTTAGGATGTGAAGTTCTGCTGATCAGTGCAGAAAAAAACTCAAGAGTTTGGGGAAATAAAGCACAAAACCATGTTTTTCCAAACACTTGCATCAGAAATCATGCCACAGCTCTAAACTGGAGATCTCATTTGTGTTTGTCTCCAAATTGAATAGGTTAAAACATTTTCAAAAACATACTTCTATGATTTTAGGAAACATTTGGACAAAACCAATAGAACCTTCTTTTAAAAATATAAATATATTTCTAATTTCTTAGAGGTTGATATTTTTAAATTTCCTTGCAAAATGGGTTTTTTTACTGGTGTCTATTCCAGTTTTACTTCCTCACAAACATGACTCTAAGCATGTGGGTTTCCCCAGTGACCCCCCCCCAGGCCTGATTAGCATCTCAATTTCCTTCTTTAATAAAAAATTCAATTAGGAGCCACTTAATGTTCCTGATTGGGTTTTTAAGTACAAATGAAACAGTGATACAAGTTGAACTGTGAAAGAAGCTCAGGGGAGATACTCAGGACCACTTTAGAAAGATCAAGGACAGGATTGTGTTTTAATTTCTTTGCTTTCCAGGGGTGATAGACCTGTGTAGGACTCCTACCTGGGGGTGACCTGATGTGCACATTTGTATTCTTTAGTGCAAAAGACCCACCTCAGAGCAATCTGAGGGAGTGTTCTGGGGACTGAATAAATGAGGCCAGGCCCTTAGGGGACCATTTCTTTTTTAAAGGAAGGCCAGAGACAGAAAGAGAGGCCTGGAGTGCTAATGTGGCAGAGACTAGAGAGAGAAGTGAATCAGGCCCTAGAAAAATTGAGCCAGCTCCAACTACTTTTATGCTATTGAATTTTTTAAAGGTACCCATATTCCTTATAAGAAATGTTTAAAATCTGGACTGACTAGATATTCTATTTCTTTACATATGAGCTACATACTTGCTATTCTCAGGGTGTGTGTGTGTGTGTGTGTGTGTGTGTGTGTGTAAGAGATAGAGATGTTTTTATGTTTTATCAATGGTTATGATTTATGGTGGACAAAATCTCTTGAGAGATACACTTAGGTAAATTATGTTGATTATATCCACTTGACCAAAAATTAAACCATTCTAGCCTTTTCCAGACCATGAATCTCATCTTCATAAGATCCTGGAATAGAGGAAAAACTGGTCGGGGGATCTAGACCTTCTTGCCTTCAACTTTTCTGAAATTTTGTTTTCTGCTCGTCCAAATTTTGTAAATCCAGCCAGTTCATCTGAGAGATTTCCTAGATCTTGTTCCTTAGTATTGTTGAAAATACCTGTTTAACACTTACCTGTTATATCATTATGCTTCCCATAAGCTATCATTAGAAGCACAGGGCTTGGAGAAGCTTCTCTGTAGCTTAACAATGATCAATCATCAACTTCTGATCATCCATGCTAATAGATGAAAAGTGAAAAAAAATAGAAGTCCTTACTCTGGAAAAATCTCTACCATTTGCTTGTACCAACTAGAACCTACCATAAATCAATACTTTTAGTACATAGATTAAGACAGCTGAAGACCAAATCAACATTCTTCAAACTGTATCATGGCACACTGTAAAAAACAAAACAAAACAAAACAAAAAAACTGGTATGAACAGTGAATCTAGCATTAGTCCTGCCCCTTAACTAATTGCTACAGTAAGAAGCAGAGGTGTGCCCTGGGGTTATCCTCTCCAGAGTCCACACAATTATTGATAGGGTGAGTCAGTTAAGGAGTTTGGGGGATGGCCAATGAAGCCAAGCTAAGATAAAAGTGTGCAACAAAGTAAAGAATCTGGGTTGACACAACCAAAGGTTAGCAAAAATATTGCAAGTATATTATAATACGGAAACAGAAATTATGATTAGGGATTATTTGCCTCATTTTTCTATAATAAGAACATTTCCTACTTTGAAGCTGGCAACCCCATGCCTCATTGGGAATATGGAATCTGCACGGTCAGAGATCATCTACTGGCAGGCATCTGAAGATACCCTGCACAAGTTCTTCTGATTAAAAGGAAATCAGTTTCATTGATTAAGTTCTATAATATGTTGAAACAGAAAAGGTTAATGTACTCCTTCAAAAGCTTTTTAAATTATTATCTATGTTGAAGATAATCACCATACATGTAAGGCAGAAATAACTTCTGAGTCTTATGATAAATTACACATAACCATAAATTACATATTTATATGTTCCAGGTGGCTGAACTTGTAACCAGTGAGTTCTTTGAACAAGGAGATCGGGAGAGATCAGAACTCAAACTCACTCCTTCAGTAAGCCCATCCTTTTATTATGACACAGTTAGCCTTTGGAATGACATTTTCAGAAGCAACTCCAAATCACACCCTGAAAGTGGGAAAGACTGAGAGTGGATTTAAGAAAGCACTCCTGAAAGTTTAACACTTTAATTAAACTTAGACGCTAAACACTCCTATTCCCAGGTTTCTGATTAAGAGTGGTGAGCTACTTAACAAGCACTTCCTGAGCTCACATGGTAAGACAAGTAGGCACAAGGGAGGATGTACCAAGTGGCACTGGAGTAGCTCAAAGCCCAGTGCTGGCATTACATAAGTGAGTGGTCTGTACCTACCTTGGAAGAGAAATACAGACAAAAGTCAAAGGCAGGCTGTCCAGCCTTGAGGAGCTTAGAACAGACAACTGCAGTAAATAATGGTCGTTCTGGGTTTTATTTTCCTGTTTGGGGCTTTCTAAAATCCCAAACCCAGATCATTTCAAGTCTCTGTTTCTTTCCTTTGTTTGCAAAATGAAAAGTCTCACTTGGGGAACTAGGTTCTGTTGACTGAAATGCTATTTTTGTTGGATTCACCCATTCAATTATTATTTGAGAATGCTTACCGTAGGCTCAGGATGATGCTGTTTTTATTCAAACAAGACAAAAGACATAAATGCCTCATCCACAAGGAGGGGGTGGCCTCTATTCTTAAGGAATGGTTAGCTACAAATTGTCACCTCACAACTCAAAGAATGGTACAAAGTACTGTGAAGCTGGTACAGCACAGTAGATACAGTTAGGCTCATTAATAGATTCATTAGGCTTAAGGAATGTTTGAATTGTCAGGAATGTCTGTTTATGAGGATTCAAGTCAACCGAGTTCTGAACATTTGGAGGTTACTTGTAAGATCTTCAAGTTTTAGGACGCCTTTCTTTGCGAGCATTTAAAAGTAAGGAAAAGCCAGAGAGCTAGCTCTTAGTCAAAGAGCTTCACCTGTCTGAAGTCAGACCTCACAGCCTTAACTAATTTTAACTATTCTTAATTTGTTGCCTACCTATAAAAGGTCAGAAGACTCCATAGGCTAAAACACTCACCCTGTATTTTAGTTTCCAAAGCAGTATCTACTTATACTGTTTCCAGAACATCCCTTTATTCTTTTTTGGTGGTATCAGCAGATTTGGCTGTGATACCAGTTTGGGGTACATAGTTAATGTGTAAAACCCTAGTGACAACCCAAATTCCTCTCAGCTACATGTTTATTTTCAAATGAAAGCTTTCTTCCACTTAAAAATTGTTTCAGGGGCTTTGTCTGAAGGGTTTATAATGTAGCAATACCACAGGTCATTTAATTAAGTGGGAAAAAAAATGAGTCGGTTGCCAGCATTGGCGACTTGGCAAGTGCAGTGACGCAGCACTAAGGAGGCTTTGTACACTCAGGTAAGGCGTTCGCTGAACACATAAATGAAATTAATTTTGCGGTGGAAACATAGCACTAAATGCTACTCTCTCCTCGCAAAAGGCTACTCAACATGGCCAATGACAGTCTCCTGGCTGCTGTGGCAGGGGTATTTCTCATTAGTCCTTTCCCAAAGATGTCTGGAAATGCATGCACGCAGAGGTGACACCAGTTGTGTGTCTTTTATTCTTTGATGTTTAGGGAGAAAATTGTCTGGGAATCCCTCCATCTGGTGTCACGGTCCTAGAGGTCATCAGGGTAACTTTCTGAAGACAACGGCTAATCTAGACCACAGCCAAGGGTTAATAGTAGAAGCAGTGAGTCAGTTAGTAAAACATGCTCGAGCACCTCTGGGTAGCGAGCGTGAAGCTGGGCACTGTGCATCCAGCCATGAGCAAAGCTGTCAACTGAGGGAAAGATAGACATTATATAAATAATCACTTATAATCAACTACAAGATGCAAAAGGCTGTAAAAGGAAAGCACAGGACAATCAATGTGCTATCTCACACTTGCACTCAAAAACATTTATTGAGAAGTGACTAGTCTAGAAATAAACTTTTACAGTATGGCCAACTGTCAACAGAATGCTAAGACAATTCAATGGGGTCAGTCTTCTGTCTTCTCAAATAGTGCAGGGACAGCAGGATATCCACATGCAAATGAATGACGCTAGATCCCTGTCACCAAACCTCAAAATAATCTCAAAGTGGATCATAGACCTAAATGTGAGGGCTAAAACTATATGAGACTCTTAGAAGAAAACAAGGTATAAATCTTCTGAAAAATAAAATAGATACATTGGACTTCATTAAAATTTAAAACTTTGCATCTTTTTTTTTTTTTTT